TCACTTCATGTCTTGAATGTCCTCCTCTATTGCCGAATCCAAAGTTAATGTTGAAGGAAAACTTCTCAAACTATTAATATCTGATACTGTATGATATCCACTGGATACTGTTAGTTGAGATGCAGATGAATAAATACTTCCTGCATCTTCATTGCCTTTCTTTATATAATTATTAATCAATGCAGATATTTCAACAGTCCGGGCTAGTAATAATGCAGTGTGCCCTTTAATAGATTTAATAGTTGGATCAGCTTTCCATTCTAATAATAACTTAACTATTTCATAACGTCCTTTAAAACTAGCTAACATTAAAGCAGTGTAACCTCTTCTTTGCTGAACATTAGGATCAACTAGTTCCTTCAGCAGCATTTCAACTATCTGAGTGTGACCATTTTGACAAGCCAACATAAAAGCATTCATTCCATCATTTTGTTTAACATTAGGATTAACTTGTTTCTTAAGCAGCAGTTCAGCTATTTGAGTGTGACCATTTTGACAAGCCAGCATGAAAGCATTGCTTCCATTTTTTTGTTGAACATTAATATCAACTTCTTCCTTTAGCAACAGTTCAACTATTTCAGTGTGACCATTTTGACAAGCCAACATGAAAGCATTGCTTCTATCATTTTGCTGAACATTAGGATCAATTTGTTCCTTTAGCAACAGTTCAACTATTTGAGTGTGACCATTTTGACAAGCCAACATGAAAGCATTGCTTCCATCATTTTGTTGAATATTAGGATTAAGTTTTTCCTTTAGCAGCAATTCCACTATTTGAGTGTGACCATTTTGACAAGCCAACATAAATGCATTCTTTCCATCATTTTGTTGAACATTAGGAATAACTTGCTCCTTGAGCAACAGTTTCACTATTTGAGTGTGACCATTTCGACAAGCTAAAATAAAAGCATTCCGTCCATCATTTTGTTGAACATTAGGATCAACTTGTTCCTTTAGCAATAGTTCGACTATTTGAATACGACCATTTGCACAAGCTAACATAAAAGCATTCCAACCATCTGTCTTTTTAACATTTGGATCAATTCGTTCCTTTAGCAACAGTTTAACTATTTGAGTATGACCATTCTGACAGGCCAACATAAAAGCATTTCCTCCATCATTTTTTTGAATATTAGGATTAACTTGTTCCTTCAGCAACTGTTTAACTATTTGTGTGTGACCATTTTGACAAGCCAACATAAAAGCATTCCTTCCATCTTTTCTTTTGACATTAGGATCAACTTGTTCTTTCAGTAACTGTTTGACTATTTGTGCGTGACCATTTTGACAAGCCAATATAAAATCATTCCTTCCATCATTTTTTTTGAGATTAGGATCAACTTGTTCCTGTAGCAACTGTTTGACATTTTGAGTCTTATCAGTTTCATAATCCAACATCAAAGCATTATTATCTTGAATTTTAGCTTCACTATGTTGGTTCAGCAAAAGCAGTCTAACTATATCAGTGTGATTATTTGCACGAGCAAACATAACAGCATTCCAACCATCATTATTTTTAACATAAGGATCAACTTCTTCTTTTAGCAACAGTTCAACTATTTTAGTGTGGCCACTTTTACAAGCAAACATTAAAGCATTCCAACCATCATTTGTTTGAACATTAGGATCAACTTGTTCCTTCAACAACAGTTCAACTATTTGAGTGTGACCGTTTTGGCAAGCCAACATGAAAGCATTCAAACCATTATTATTTTGAACATTAGGATCAACTTGTACTTTCAGCAACAGTTTGACTATTTGAGTATGACCATTATGACAAGCCATCATAAATGCATTCCACCCATCATTTGTTTGAACAATAGGATCAACTTGTTCCTTTAGCAACAGTTCAACTAATTGAGTATGGCCGTTCTGACAAGCAAAAATAAAAGCATTCCAACCATCATTCGTTTGAACATTAGGATCAACTTGTTCCTTTAGCAACAGTTTAACTATTTGAGTATGGCCATTTCGGCAAGCCATCATAAAAGCATTCCAACCTTCATTTTGCTGAATCTTAGGATCAACTTGTTCCTTCAGTAACAATTTAGCTATTTGAGTGTGACCATTTTGGCAAGCCATCATGAAAGCATTGCAACCATCATTAGTTTGAAAATTAGTATCAACTTGTTCCTCCAACAACTGTTCAACTCTTTGAGTGTCACCACTTTTACAAGCTGCCATAAAAGTATTATTTTGATTATCCTGTAACAACAGCTCAACTATTTGAGTGTGACCATTTTCATAAGCCAACATAAAAGCATTCCAACCATCATTTGTTTGAACATTAGGATCAAATTGTTCCTTTAGCAAAAGTTCAACTACTTCAGTGTGACCATTTCCACAAGCAAACATAAAAGCATTCATTCCATCATTTCTTTGAACATTAGGATCAACTTTTTCCTTCAGCAACAGTTCCACTATTTGAGTATGACCATTTTGACAGGCCAAAATAAAAGCATTCCAACCATCATTTGTTTGAACATCAGGATCAACTTGTTCCTTTAGCAACAGTTCAACTATTTGAGTGTGGCCATTTCCACAAGCAAATATAAATGCATTCCAACCATTGTTTGTTTGAATATTTGGATCAACATGTGCCTTGAGCAACAGTTCAACTATTTGAGTGTGACCTTTTTGACAGGCCAACATAAAAGCATTCCAACCATCACTTGTTTGAAGACTAGTATCAACTTGTTCCTTCAGCAACAGTTCAACTATTTGAGTGTGACCATTTTGACAAGCAAACATAAAGGCACTCCCTCCATCCTTTTGTTGATATTTATAATCAACTCCTCTACTAATTAATAGCTTAACAACTTCATAGCTACCACTGCCACTAGCAACCATTAAAGCATTTGCTCCATCTAATATCTTCAGGTGAGGATTAGCATTAGCTTGTAGTAACATACGAACGATTGAAATGTCATTATGTTCACTTGCTATCATTAGTGCAGTCCATCCTTTTTTACACTGAAAGTTAACATTAGCTCCAGCAGACAGTAAACTGTGTACAATGTCCTTGTGTCCTCTTTTACAGGCTAACATTAGTGCTGTCTTGCCTTCTTCATTAGTATGGTCAATATTAGTAGCTTCTAGTTGAAGAAGAAACTGTAATGCTTCATTATTACAAGTTGTGACTGCCTCAAAAATAGCTAGTTCAAAGGTGAAGTTCATATTCTCATCTTCTTGAAGGACAGGATAATCAGTAATGTATACACTGAATATACCAATGAGATGCATTAACTGAAACTTTCCTCCGATATATTCTATTACACTATCACTTTTAATGTCAAGAATATTTATCTTCATGACAACAGATCCTTCCTCAATAGTGATATATTTCATTATTGACTGTCTAAGTTCTATTGGGAGCAATTTTTTGATTAAAATATACAATCCATTAATTTTAACATCATTCCAAGGATTTTGAAGTTCAATGCATATTAGTGGCATATTCTCCAAACATCTTCTATAAGGCCCATACACTTTACGTATCTTTTGTTTGAGCTCAGTAATTGGTCTTGATGAACGAAATGCATTAGCTTTCAATGTATAAACCTTCAGTTCATCAAGTAGATCTTTTTCATCACTTATAAACTCATTACACATAGCAACTATCAGACTACAATCAATGAAATCATAATAATGATAGATCTTCTTGAAAATATCATCTAAACTATCATCTACTGTGCCATGCTCCCAGTGGAGCTGATTCTCAATCCAATCAGATATCTCAATAGATATCTGTGAATTTTCATTCACTTTTTTACGAAAAGTTGATTTTAAATTTCTCATTATGTGAGAAAATTTTGCTTGTAATTCATCCAAAGAGTCTTGAACTGCTTGATCATTTTTTGAAAAAAAAATTATTTCAGTATCACCTAAAAGTATAACAATAACAAAAATTATAATAGTAATTTTAGCAGTACATATTACATAATTATTACACAAGTGATAGCATTTATTATGTTAGGTTAATAATTTACCATCAAAACTTGGTGCACTTGGTGATAGATCTAATGATGTCTTGGCAGACAGAGCAGTAGTGTCAAGGTCTATAAGATCTTTAATATTTTGAGCTAATGTATTCTCTTTTATACTAGTCAGTGCATCAGTGACATCTCTCCATGTTGCTTTAGGATTGACTGACAACCATTTTGAATATAAAGCTAACTTTTTGTCTTCAATTTTTACATGTTCTTGTTCAATTTTTAAAATGTTGTGCTTTTCCATTCCAACTAAACATAAACCAAATGGTTTCCAGTCAACAAGCAATTCAAGCCATTGAATTAGCAATGAAATATCAGGTCGATCATCAATCATAGGACCAGGATTGAGCTCAACATCTCCTGATAAAAGGAGGAGCATACGTAGGCAAACAATAAAATAGAGATCATTGTAAATCAAGTTAGAACTGCTGCCTCCAGGCAACACTACTGACTGGAGGTAATTCATATCGGTAACAGTAACACCAGTAGTACACTGTACTTGGTAGCAGTTATTTAATAATAAAATACCAGTAACTATACAAGTACAAAGTTGCAGTTGTTGTTTACATTTTGGAGCAATTATCAAGATGTGTCTTAATAAAAAGAGAGAGTAAGAGAGGAGGAGGAGGAGGGAAGCTACATAAGACAGAACTGCTTGCAGTCTAGACGCCTTCTCTTGACCTGATGTAGTACTGGCTGACTTGCTGTCTGCTGCAGTTTTGAATGAGTGAGAGTGGTGGCCATTAGTTGGTCTACTGGAGGCAGCTTGACAATAGTTCCACAGTCCAATACTTGCTCTCCATTGAAAGACATCAATCATCTTGTAAATATTATTATTATAAATAGATGATGCAGTCAAGTAGCTTCTTTATTCAGTCACTAATGGTAGAGTACATTAGAAGAGAAACCAAACCATCACTGAATTATATTCATGGTTGTCACATACAATAACTGTGCATAGTGTTACTCTACTACAGTTATTATTGTGATTCCAGATGGTTAATATGACTAAATTTGGTCATTTTTAACGACCTGGGGGCGAAGTAGTCTCGCTTAGCCAGACGGAGGGCGTGGTCTGGCTACGCGAGACTAGGGGCGAAGCCCCCAGGTCGTTCCTATAATTGAATTCACCGTGGCGCTATGTATATATATATATTTGTATGTCCACACTTACATTTCTTCTATACACGTTGTATTGGAGGAATAACAAGCCTTAGCAACCACCCGCCCACGCTCCTTTACGTGAGTGGGTGTGGTCACGGCAAACAAAATGGCGGCTTACACATGGGACAAAGTTAAGAGCTTTCTAACAGCAAGACTGCAAGAGAGCATAGAGATACTGTCTTAAGACTTCTCTAGAGGCATTATAAGGTAGAGAGAACCTCTATAAGTCTTAATAATGACCAAGTTGTATTTGCAAGGTGGTGAAATCAATTATAGGAATATTTTTTACCCTGTTACGCTTGTTTCACATTATACATAATTGTTGTAATTATCTACTCTTGCCATATGCATAGGCATATAGGCAAAGGTACACAAGTTGTTCTCTTAAATAACTCAAAATACACTACATTCCAGATACAATAATTCAGGGTTCACAGTTATTATAGCCTGTGTGCCACCCTACTGTTTCAATAAAGAATTGAATATTGGTGATTTTCAAATCATGCCCAAGTACATGTTTGTCTGCAAGCATAGATACTGTAAGTGATGCTAAATCATACACTGTACAACTGGTTATTTTGAATGGAGGGAGTAAAATTAATTTTGGTGAAGTGCTAGACTAGATTTGTTGAATTTGTGGCCATGCACATTATAGCACAAATTGGCAGATTTTATATCGTGAATGGCTATCAAAATGCTGTTTGCCAATTTTCCTTTCCTCCAAAATTACCAATCACCTACACAGTATTAGCAAAAGTCCAAAATTAACTCTAGTCACTCCATTATGTATAGGGACATGATTGCAACTTACACGAAGAATTCCTTTTAGGAATACCTACCTTAAGGTAAAATTCTAATTTGGTACTGAGTATAATCTTCCATCATTAATAACACTATCCAAAATGAAAATAACATATAAATAATGAGATAGATCTAGTTTAATAACATAGAGTATAATAGTTAGTACATGTACATACATGTGCAATAGTCTAGATACTGACCTACTGTTTGACCTTTGACCCCTTCATCAGATCAACAGTATATGAAGATATGATCAACACTATCAGTCAATACTGCATAAGAACCATCATGTGTGGCAGTGAGGAACTTCTTCTCTTTTTTAGATGTTTGTACATATCTCAGTCCTTTGAATGTGGTTACATGAGTATATATATGATAGAGAGGGAGAGGAGACTGAGGATCTATATCGTTACTCAGTGACAATACTGATAGTCCTCTTGGTCTAGGTTGTAAGGTATGAATAACACAGCAAAGTTTGTTGAAGGAGTTGATACTCAAGTTTTTCATAATATCATTTGAGCCAATGCAATGAGAAAATTAATTAAATTCAACAACTGCTATTTCTCTGGCAACAAAGCTATAGTTAGCTCAGCGCAGTAGATATCAGTGGTAGAAGTCAAAAAATTTATTGGTGCCTTAAAATTATTGTAGCATTTCAGCATTGTCATTTCCTTGGAAATGTGGCAAAAATAGAAAACTATCAACAGCAACTTAGAGGTAAATTGTTTCAAGCAACATTGTTTGCTAGTGACGCTTTTGTTTATTTTAGTAGTCAAAATTTATTTGCCAATAACACTGGGACTGCTTTATATGCAGTGAACAGCCGTGTACACATTTCCCATGGGGCCAATATTAATTTTTTTAACAACACTGGAGATTGAGGAAGTGCTATACTTTTTGCAGAAGGTTCAGTAATGGACTTTGTTGAAAATAGTACATCTTTGATAGAATTTTCAAATAATAAAGCTCCCCTAGGCCTTGGTGGTGCAATATATATTCAATCACCGATTGAAGTACATGAGGGAACATGCTTTCTTTATCAAAACTATGGTAAAAATCCTTATGTAAATGTCCAATTTACTTTTAATAATAACACTGCCATTGCTGGGTTTGGTCATGATATTTTTGCCTCTACACTTCAAGATTGTGTTCAATTACATAATGAGACTACATCAAATTTATTTACAGCTGGCAAAATGGGTAGATTCAAGTTTCATCAGTACCACCTGACCCACCTCCAGTTGCTACTGCACCAGTCAACCTGTCAATAAATGAGAAAGAGCTATTTCCATATCCTGGAATACCATACAATATGACCATAAAACAAAAGGATGAACTTGATAGCAATATAACAAACTTACAATTGTTTCCATTGTCTGCAACACTACAAAATGAACATAATTCCTCACTGAAGATTGATCTAACTCACTCCATTGCTAACAATTATATAATAGTCTTTAAAGGAATAGTAGGAGATAAAGCTACTCTATTACTACAGACAACTGAGTACAGTGCTAGATTATTCATTAACATCACTCTATATCAGTGCCCTCCTGGATACATGTTTCAAACTGATACCTGTCATTGTAACAGTAACTACTATTATGGAATATTACATTGTTTAGAAGATAATAATGCAGCAGTCATTGATACAGGACTTTGGGCTGGATATATAGGAGAGAAATTTGCAACAGCAGATTGTGTGATTAGTCTATGTGATTATCATAACTCTAACAATACCAAAAATGGAGATCATATCCTTCCATTGAATTACAGTCTCTTAAATGATCATATTTGTGCCTCTCATAGGAATGGTGTATTGTGTGGTAGTTGTATCACTGGTTAC